TTTGATTTATTATATATATGACATATTTGCTTTGATTATAATCATAATCAAAGTTGATGACATAATACATGTGTTGTCAACTTACAAGCTTAAGACAATTTGCTTATTTATCTAAAAAAGGAGAGTTTCATGCTAATCTTAATAGAATTTGTGATCATTTGTTTTCTTTATACAGTTTATTCAATTTTGCATAAAATTTTAAAGCAGAATAATTGGTAGTGGTTATTTTATTCATTTAATTGTATATATCTGTTTCTCTGAATCAAACTGTAATGTAACTAATGTAAACAAGAATTTTTCAGAGAAAATTAATTTACAGTAGCTATTCATTTCTCTGGCATCCAATAATCCAGAATGTTTGATAATCTGCATGCCAATATTCTGAAAATTGTAATTTATTTGGACTTGTGGTCTACTAAAGACTCTGGATGGAAATACATTGTGCAAAAATAATTGTCCATATGACAGGGAAGTTTTGTTTTCTCAAGTCATTTTTAAAAATATGTTCATATAACACAATAAAAAATAGCCAAAGTAGTGAAGAAACATTATTTCTTTCCTCAAAAATAAAACTACAGTTATAAGTAGATGTAAGGAGAGGAAATTTAAAATAATGACAAAAACATTGAAAAAAATTGATTATAAGAGTTTGTGTATAGTAGTGAACATTTCTCACAATTATTAAATTTAATATTTTTGGGGCTGCCTTTGCTTTCAATTATGGCCAGACATCATTTTGGCATTGCCATCCACTTTTCACAAAAATTGGATTGGTTGTTTTCCAAACATTTTGTATGAGTTCCTTCATCTCTGCCTTGTTTTTGGCCTTCTCTTTGCCATCTGAATTTCCCTGTCATTCCATAAATTTTCAATTGGATTGTCATCTTGTGATTGAGGAAACCAATCTAACTTAGTAATGCCATTACATTGGAAATAATCTGTAACAATTTTTGCTATATGTTTGGAATCATTGTCTTGTTGGAAAACAGTTATTTTCCAATCCTATTTTGCAAACTGACTCTTCCAAATTTTCTTTGAGAATGTTTAAGTAGTCTTATTTCTTCATTCTTTCATTAATAATAATTTGCCAACTCCTTTTGCACAGAAACACTCCTAAACCATCACTGATCCCAAACAATTTAACAATTAGCTTTACACTGTTGGGTTTAATTGTTCTTCCTTTTTTTTTGTCACACTTTTATTGAACCATCTGCTAAAACCAGTTCTTGCTAAAATAATAAAAAACTTTAGCAAGAACAAGATTAAATTTTTTCTCATCTGAACAAATAACATGTTCCAGAAGCAGATTCAATCTAATTGCCAACCCATTGAAAATTTATGAATGGCATGGAAATCCAGATGGCAAAGAGGAGAAATCAAGGCAGAAATGAAGAAACTCATACAAACTGTTTGGGAAAAGCTGATGGCAATGCCAAAATAATGTCTGACAATAATTGAAAGCAAAGGAACCACACAAAATATTAAGTTTAAAAATTGTAAGAAATGTTTACTATATAAACAAACTCAATTTTTTCTTTATATTTGCTTATAATTGCAGTTATCATTTTTGAGGAAAGAAATAAAGAATGTGTCTTCTTTATTTTGGCTATTTTTCATTGTGCTACATAATCACATTTTTTTAAAAATGACTTGGAAAAATAAAACTTTCTTGCCATTTGAACAATTTTTTTTGCTCACTGTATAGTCAAGAAAATAAATATCGTTATGGTGTGAAATGTAGAATATACAACACAACACCAGTTTTTTAATAAATAGGAATAATGTTGACTATGTGTAATAATATGTTCATTAACATCTTTTCAGATTTTTTTAAAAACATTCCAGAAATTGGAACAGTATATAACAATTACCTCACTCCTCTTCCAGCAGATAGATTCTTGGAGAAAACAAATGTTTTTGGCCATTTCATTGGTCCTTCTCAGATAAAAGAATGATAATGCAAAAGTTCTATTTTGCATTTCATATTTGGAATCTGGTTTTATGCTTGGATGAAGGGTTGGAGCTCTTAAATTTTGGAATGCATAGAAGCTAAATTGAGCCTTATTGGTTTTTAGCTTGTTTTATGCATGAAAACTTTTTGAGCTTTGAACTTTTGTATTAACATTTTGAGGCAAGCCACTGAACTGGCCAAAAATGTTTGTTTTCTCCAAGAATCCATCTACTGAAAGAAGAGTGAGAAGCATAAAATAATTGTTTTCAGGTTTTTCAATTGACCTTAACACAGCACAATCATCAGATTGATTAAAGAGCATGTGTAAACAAATAAGAAGTATACAGCAATGTCAAAATGCAATGCCTACAACAATCTTAGATCATATATAACTTGTTTTTATATTTTTGCAAAATTCAATATCTTATAATTTGACATTTTAAATAATCTAGTATCATTCTGGTCCTGCAGATGCTAGATTAATTAATGAACTTTTACTATAGTTAATTTTTATTCCAAAAATTTCTTTTATATTGAAATCTATCTATTAAATACTTTAATATTAAGCATATAAAAATTACTTTTCTTTTATTACAGGAGATACCTTCAATTTCATTGAACAGGTATGATGCCTTAAAATGTTCTTAGTTTAAAAATTGTATCAAACAGCAAATAATAATAAAGTAAAAATTAAGTTTGTTTTGTCTACATTTATGAAATTAATAAATATATAATACAGTAGACCCCCTATAATGTGGTAGATACGTTCCACTTTATAAGAATTTCACGTTGTAGGAATCCTTAAATACATGAGCCAATCGCAGCCTGACACGTGTGAAGTTTACAGATTACGGCTGTTTGAAAGGTTTTCTTCCATAAAATTAATCGATTCTAGACTAATTCGACTCAACATTTCCAAAACACATATAATTTTTTGAGAATAATCCGTATAAACTATGCTATAAACAAAAAATTGTAGGATTACTTACCGAGTGTGCACCATTCGACATCACCATTGCTTAAGCTTGTTTTCATCGCGGAGCAACGCACCAAACGGCGGCTGTGATTTCTGATAAGTTATTTTTCTGCGAAAAATTCGTTGAGCTTTGGANAAAGATATAGAGATAAGATAAAAATGATTAAAAATAATATAAAAACTAAAACTAAATCTGTATGGCAATCAACAGAAACCTTGTGCTAATTCCGAAGGAAATACATATAATCGAGAACAAAAAGCAAGTAAGTTCTGAATCTGTGTCTGGTATATAATCAAAGGTTATTATTCAAATATCAAACTTAAAGAATAGTTGTTATGAAAGCAAACAAATAGCTGTCTCTTCAACTCCAAGTCTGAGTCAAAAGTGAAGTCTTTTGTCTCCTATCCCTAAACAAAAACCTTCCTTTCCCTTTCTTAACCCTTTCCACGTTCATGCTGAGTTTACAGAGGAAGTTAATTGGTGGTCCTAAGATTGTAAACCAACCTGTGACCTGGTATGATCTACTTACACGTCATTTCTTTGTAAAGTGTTGGTTTCAGTTTGGTAGGGACAGAGTACCTTAAGGAAAAATGTTTTATGCAAATTTATTTTACTATGATTTGTAAATGATGTCTCATCAGAAAACAATCCTTGTTTAAAAAATTGTCATTGTTTTGTATTTATTGTTCTATCCAATGACAAAAATTCATATGATTTTGAAAGTTATCACCAAGAAGTTCTTGGTGCAACAAACTATGGTAAGGATATTTTAAATAAATGTAAAACATTGGTTTTAGACATTCCTGAGGCTCATGCAATTTTTCTGGAACTAATGTGAAGATTTTGAGTTACTACAGCTAAAATATCAACTTCCATATCTTCATTTGTTGTAATATTTCTTTGAATCTTGATTTTGATTGGACACTTCCTGATTCAGTAAGTACAATCAGACAATACAAACAATAAGTCATAATAATGGGATGATTTACTAACAAGGATTACTTTAAAATTATGCAGAAAATTATGGTATATATGTGTGTATAATATAATGCTATAAATAGTATGTTAGGTATAATAGTATGTCAAATAATTAAACATTGATGCTAATTGAGATTTCATTGTATAACAGTACATAAAAGTTGAATATAGACTCATAAAAAAGTAATTTTCTATGATCTTTTCCATGTTAATGAGACAAACAGTACCTATTGTGAAAGTTCTGATATCAATTTGAATATTTAGACTTTTTTGAGCAAATAATTTATTTCTATCTTTGTAAAATATATTTTTAACAATGTGAACACTTGTATTGGTATTACCTTTGGATTATTCTTTTTAATAATTTTAATCTGAAGAAAGTTACTCATTAAATTTTATTTCAAAATATTTCTACTTATTTAAATTAGATTCTCTATATTATAAAATAATCATTCTTTTAAAAGTGGTCAATCTTTTCTGTTAAAGTTACAGTGAATTTAGGAGTGGATTCCATCATCATCATCTCCTTCCCATTAGGGATGTGTATCATTATTTATTGGAAAGAACATCTTATGACTTAGATTGAACACATAAAATGAATGAATAATTTGGTAGGCTGGTAGTATATCTCCTCAGTCTAGTAGGAGGGTAAGGTTCCTTTTTCCTTCTGATTCTCTCCTTTTAAGGATTTAGTGGACCTTTAAGGTCAGCCAATCTAGAGCTGGATCAGAAACTCTACTTTAGATATGCCTTTGCTAGGACAACTGACTTATTTCATTAATTGTGCAAAATGATCCCTGACTCCTCTAGTAAAATCACTCCAGCCAAACAGAGGACCAAATCTCTCTCTCTGAATAAAGCTGATAAGCCTACTCGACAGTTACTATAATTTTATTTTGAAAGCTATGTTAATCAAACGAATATTTTCATATAATAAAAGAAATTCCTATTTAATTTATCTTAAGCGATTTTTTAAAATATGTATTCATTATTAAAACCACAAAATAAACTAGAACAATATATAGACTCTCACCTAAATGTATTCATTATTTTTTAAATTATCTTTAAAAGTTTATTTTATAAACATATTATTTTATTACAAACATAAATTGGTTTTCTGTTATTAATTTAGATATCAAGCCTATAGTAATATTTGATGAATTTGGAAATCCTACAGCAAGAGATGTAACACCAAAAGATATAGCACATGCAAGTGAATCTGGGGTTCTTTCTTTACCTGGTCCAAGTATTTATCAATTAGACAAACAATCTTCTGAATTAAAAGAACCAGATTCACATGGTAAGAAAATTGCATTAATTAATGGTTTTATAATAATATGAACGTGTTTTTTTATTCCGATAATTTCTATACCATATTTATTCACATATAAGACGAGGTGTGACTTTAAAGATCAAAATAAAGAAAATTAGATTTATTAATACAATTATAATTTTATTCCGTTTAATCACAAATAAAATATCAAATGCATGTATATGCACACATTGTCCCACAAAAATTACTGGCATTTTAAACTTCAAGGAAAAATCTTGTAAAATCGACAACATAATTTGTTCATGTAAAGCTGGACAATTGGGAACCTTTTTTTTCAATTCTTAACAGTCGAATTCACTCTTTGTCAATTACACTTATGAGTTTCTCTGAATTCTGATTTCTAAATAATCATCTGTTTTCACATGAGAATGAATTAAAACTTATTTTAGGCTTCCATGTAATTTTGGAATTCAATCCAAAAGCTTTGCTTTTCCTATAGCTATTCATCTTTACTCCTGACAATACACAAGAATGATTGAAACGACCCAGATAAAATACTTTTGCTTTTAAACACCAGAAAGTGAGAATCCGGTAAAAAATGCAAATACACAGCTCATAAAAATTATTGCAAAAATGAAAAGAATCCTTCACTCGTGCATCTAGGACAACCTAGGTTTTTGAAGCAGTGAAAAATGAATAAAAATCTTGTCTTATATGCGAGTAAATATGGTATATACTTTCCATTATAATTCTAAATTTTGTGTTTGTAATTATATAAAATTATCATAAGATGTCAAAATTAACAGTACAGTAGAGCCTCGAAAACTCGGCACTCGATAACCCAGTACTCCGGATAACTCGGCCACACCCTGGCAGGGCAAAAAAATCCTTAGTTAATTAATTTTCATTATAGACAGCTTTATGCCTCAAAGTATATTTCTGGGGTCTGTCTTATCAGGTAAATTACTGTACACTGTGTATTCATTAATTTTCATTTTCATGTAGTAATGGCTCTGTCTTCATAAAGGACGTACTTTTCCTTTGTTTGAGGGTATTTGGGCAGTTTATTCTCTGTTGTATTCTCAAGCAAACAATACATACAAGTATAGTACAGTATTTTCTGAGGACTCCACACTTGTACTTATTTTTTTAACGCCATTCCCGATAACCCAGCATTTTCACAAACTCGGCCACCCTTCGGTCCACATTAGGCCGTGTTTTCGAGGCTCTACTGTATTATTCATGTCATTTATGTTTACTTCATTTGTTTCTTTTTGTCATAAAATAAAAATAATTTTTTTGAAGAGACAAGTAATGCAGATAAATAAAACACATGGAATTCTATGTTTGGATTTAAAAGTCATTTTAAATTTATTTTATTTATAAATGATTAATAATTGTTATTAATGTACAGTATTTAGTTATAATTCAGATAAATATTTTGTTCTTCATATATCTTCCTTTTATTTATTCATAATAAATTAATAAATGTAACAAATATAAAATTAATTTCTTTGTATGTATATCCTAAAAGTATATACAGGTAACCCCTGTATAACACGCGAGTTACGTTCCAAAAAATTGTCGTGTTATGCGAATCCATGTTATACGAAACAAAGAACTAGTGTGAAAAGGGGGGTTAGGTTTCAAAAATTAAAAAACATGTTGTTAAATCCTTATCTAAATCGGATTTATTATTCATTTTTTTCATAGGTAAAATACTTATTTATTATTTAAGTAAATATTTTACCAGAGAATTATTCATCCTATATGATCTCAGCATGAGCATCATCAACTGGTAACAGTTTTTGGGTGCATTCGTTAATAGCAGTTGCTCTGCAATGGGAGTGAGCGCTGTTTGTAGGCATTTAGAAACGATGGTGAGAGAAAGGTGGTGGCTCCCACACTATCGATAGTATTGTGATGGAGAAATCTATAATTCTAAAATGAGCTTTTAGAGGCAAAAGAAGGGTCCCAATTGTAAAATTTAACCATTAAATGGATTATTTGTAGAAAGAGCATTCAAAGTAGCCACAAAAACAATTAGAATGCATGCGCGGAGTTATGCGGAGGTATAAAAGAACGCACCCTTTATTACATTTCATGTTTTACGAGAGTTTTACCCAATTCCCGAACTGTGTTAGAATGAACCCGTGCTATAAAAGCACTGTGTTATATGGGGGGATGTTCCCAATTCTCAAACCGTGTTAGAGTGAATCCTTGCTATAGAAGTGCCGTGTTATACGGGGGTTACCTGTATTGTATCTCTTCAAAATTTTGAGACTATTTATTATATTTTTTTATATAATATTACATAAATTTATGCAATGCAATATAATTAATACCGAATAATATAAAATCTTGTGGGGTACATTTGTAGCTCTTTGCAAACTGCTTTTTATTGGCAGAACATGCATTCCTACATCAACTGCATTTGAATTTATATTTTTCTTAGAACAATCTGTTAAATTTTAATGGTTAAATGGTTAATCATTAAATTTATAATAATTTTTGAATTTCAATTCATGTACATTCAGAAAAGTAAATAACTTCCAATGATATGTTCCAGTTTGAAAATAATTTTTTCTACCATCATTTTTGATGAGTTACAGCTAGTAAAAATAATAAATTTAAGTAGTTACTTTTAATCTTGTTTTCATGATATAAATTACAAGTCCCAAGTATCAACTCTTTTTCAAAATTTTCAAGTTTAATCTCAACTTCTCAAGTCTTTGTGGAAAATATAGATCAAGTTACAGGGCTGGATTTCTGAATAGGGACAGTAGATCTGAACATAGGATGGCAGATTTTGAGGGATGGCAAATTGGCAAGCATAGTATAAGAATTTTACAAAAAAAATATAAATAAATTTCAAATATTGCAGCATTTATAATTAATTATTAAGTTGTATACATAAATAAGGTAATGGTTTCAATAATCTAATTACATCAGCTAGATATGTGTATGTTATAAATGGTCAAAGCTATGCTGATATGTATGATGCAATTTTTCATTAAAACAAAATGTACCTTATACATTAACTATACCATTTAGTAACATGCATCATTTTCATATTTAATATATTTTATATAATAAAGTCAAGTTAGTGTCAGAAGCATTTACATTTATTTCAGAAAAAGTGGTATTCTAGTCTGTGTACAGTGGTAAAAGAGTTAAGTCCAGCCCTGTCAAGTCTTAAGTTTAGTTTGAAGTTATTTCAGTCACATCTAAAGTTAAGACTCAAATCCTTTTCTTAGAAAAAACAAACCTTTAGATATACTTCATCAACAGATGATTAGATAAATCACGAATTAATGACTATTTTAAATCCAGGATTAGTGACTTTGCATTCCACCATTTTCAGATTAGATATGTTTCAGACAAATATGACATGATTCATTTTGTTTTCAAGAAGAGAATTTACTACTACTGTTCCTATCTATACTTAACTTTTTGCAAAAATTTAAGTATAAAAATTTATCATTCCAAACTTACTGAGAGTTTTGCTTAGTTTAATCATTTGATATATAAATAGGGAAGACTGGGCTAATTGTAAATGGCTTTTCCAAACAGTTCAAAATTTAGAAAGTAGAAAAGTTGTTTGACAGGGCTTCATATTGATGCAAAGAAAACCCACTCTATGAAAATCATCAAAATCTGGCATCATAAGGGTTTACTTCTGTCTGAACTGATATTGCACTTAACCCAAACCCAAAAGTTTTTCTTATAAATTTATAAAGATTTACTTCAAATAAAAAAAATCAAACAAGTGAAACTCACTTCCAATAGACAAATTTATAATAAACAGGGAATACGTTTGCTGAAATTTAGTTGTCGTACAATTGAAATGAAAAAATAAATTCAATGAAAGCAAACATAAAATTGATTATTTCCTCCAAGGATCTCATGAGCCAGTTCTTACAGACTATGCACTGAATTCTAATTTTTACTTCTCAACTACAGTTAAAATAAAGATTTTATCCATGTTGATATCTGCAGAGGGTTTGAGGGAATTTTCTTTTCATAGCATCCTTTGCTGCTTTCTCATATACTGTATATCTTTCTCTGTTGATTTTCTTTAGTTTTTGTCTTGCATGTACCTTTCTATGAAAAGAAAACTGAAAACAACATGTCAAAGTATGAAGTGAATTGTTATAGTGCCATTGTTCCCAATTAGGGGTAAATTGTACCCCTTCATGCTATTGTCATTGTTCCCAATTAGTGGTAAATTGCATGAAGGGGTACACGCGGCAATCTAAAATCGGTCGATTTAAAATTTAAATGCATGAGATGAAGCAATCAAAAAATAATGGGTGGACCATCAAAAATTCTGCAATTTACAACATGATGTCAAATGCACAAATTTGTTTATTTATAACTAAAAATATTCTTGAAATTTCATCAAAAAATGCATTTGTGACAATACCTAAATGAAATTCTTATGCAAGAAACAATTGTACAAATAACACAAATTGTGTTAATTGTACAATTTTTATCATTATTATCATGTCAGCAAAGTGGCAATAAAATATTTACTACCATTTTGCACAACATACCTCTGCGAGAGCGGATTTTCGGCCATGATAAACATGAAAACTAAACATCGTCACCAACTTCAACTCGAAGATGACTCGAGACTGAAGCTGACCAAAAAGCAACCAGATTTTACAAAGTTGTGCAAAGAAAATCGTGCACATTTGTCACATTAAAATTAAATAACCTTATGTTATTTTCATTATTATCAGAATTGTATTTTAAAGGTAAAAAATGTAAAAAAAAACTTATTCTATTTATAACTAGCTGTCTACCCAAAACTTTGCTCACATTATATCAAATTTTCTCATGGGAGTAAGATATTTTCTCGCGGTAAAGTGTAGCCTATGTCCATCTCCAACATGTAAGCTATCTCTGTGCCAAATTTTAGTAAAACCTGTTCAGCTGTTTAGATGTGAAAAGGTAACAGACAGACAGACAAAATTACCTTTGAATTTATAATATTAGTATGGATTAATATGAATTTCTGCTATAAGGGGTATGCGGGTTTGAGCTCTTTCTTGAAGTGGTATGCAGGAAAAACTAATTGGGAACCACTGTTATAGTGTAACAACATGCCCCATTTATTGAGATAAATTCTCAATCAGGACATTCTGAAAACAGTGCACACAGGGAACAAAAGTATCATTTGTTCAGGAACTGTGTACAGTGTATTTAGGTCATTAGAAACTGTGTCTGTGTGTGTAAGAGATTTTGTTTAAAGTAAAATTAAAAAACTGACAACCTAAAACTGTTGTCTTCTCTTGTGTTATAGATGGACATCTTTATCATCATTTGTTTTGCAATTAATAGCCCATAGAGTTGCCATTATTTTTAGTTCTGTGTGTAAACTAACCAAAGTGATTAGTAATAGCATGAAATTAAAGCTAAATAGTAACATAAACATATACAATATTTGCAATGGTCTTGCAAATATTGTATATTGTATATTGTATATGCAAAAATCATATGCAAAACACAACTAAAAAAATTATTTTTAGAACATTTATCATTACAAACCTTAAAATACACAAGAGGTGTTTGTTCAACATGCACCTCTCATTATCCACAGACCACATGCTCAGTGGATAGTGGAAAACTGCACACAGCAAAACAATAAAAAACTCAATAACTTTCCCTTAGTAACAACTAGCCCTGGTCTCCCCTATACATTAGTGTCTCTACTATGAAATCATAAATTTATTTCTATACAATAATCAAAATTGTATGAAAATGAAAATTCAGGGTAGCAAATTGTTTTATTAAGTTTTCAAGTTACAAGTTGTCACCTTGTTGATGTAAGTCCAAATTGAGTTTAAGTTAATCCACACAAATTGACAACACTGGTTATTTGTAATATCAAAATTGTTTAGATTAATGCAGATTTATATCTATTTGACAGATACTATAAATAGTGTAGAGATTACATACACAAAAACTGTAGTGTTTGTTGAATTTATTATTTTTTTTTCAAATATTTGTAGGATTTGGTTTAAGGAGTTTTTAAATATTTAATAGTAATATTTAACTGAAAAATAAGAATTGACTGAATGAAATATAAATAATGAAAACAGTCAAATAAAAAGGAAAGGGCAATCAAATTAAAACATAAAGCTTTATTTCACAAATACAAAATAGAGTACTAGTTTATAATCATATTTGATTTATTATATATATGACATATTTGCTTTGATTATAATCATAATCAAAGTTGATGACATAATACATGTGTTGTCAACTTACAAGCTTAAGACAATTTGCTTATTTATCTAAAAAAGGAGAGTTTCATGCTAATCTTAATAGAATTTGTGATCATTTGTTTTCTTTATACAGTTTATTCAATTTTGCATAAAATTTTAAAGCAGAATAATTGGTAGTGGTTATTTTATTCATTTAATTGTATATATCTGTTTCTCTGAATCAAACTGTAATGTAACTAATGTAAACAAGAATTTTTCAGAGAAAATTAATTTACAGTAGCTATTCATTTCTCTGGCATCCAATAATCCAGAATGTTTGATAATCTGCATGCCAATATTCTGAAAATTGTAATTTATTTGGACTTGTGGTCTACTAAAGACTCTGGATGGAAATACATTGTGCAAAAATAATTGTCCATATGACAGGGAAGTTTTGTTTTCTCAAGTCATTTTTAAAAATATGTTCATATAACACAATAAAAAATAGCCAAAGTAGTGAAGAAACATTATTTCTTTCCTCAAAAATAAAACTACAGTTATAAGTAGATGTAAGGAGAGGAAATTTAAAATAATGACAAAAACATTGAAAAAAATTGATTATAAGAGTTTGTGTATAGTAGTGAACATTTCTCACAATTATTAAATTTAATATTTTTGGGGCTGCCTTTGCTTTCAATTATGGCCAGACATCATTTTGGCATTGCCATCCACTTTTCACAAAAATTGGATTGGTTGTTTTCCAAACATTTTGTATGAGTTCCTTCATCTCTGCCTTGTTTTTGGCCTTCTCTTTGCCATCTGAATTTCCCTGTCATTCCATAAATTTTCAATTGGATTGTCATCTTGTGATTGAGGAAACCAATCTAACTTAGTAATGCCATTACATTGGAAATAATCTGTAACAATTTTTGCTATATGTTTGGAATCATTGTCTTGTTGGAAAACAGTTATTTTCCAATCCTATTTTGCAAACTGACTCTTCCAAATTTTCTTTGAGAATGTTTAAGTAGTCTTATTTCTTCATTCTTTCATTAATAATAATTTGCCAACTCCTTTTGCACAGAAACACTCCTAAACCATCACTGATCCCAAACAATTTAACAATTAGCTTTACACTGTTGGGTTTAATTGTTCTTCCTTTTTTTTTTGTCACACTTTTATTGAACCATCTGCTAAAACCAGTTCTTGCTAAAATAATAAAAAACTTTAGCAAGAACAAGATTAAATTTTTTCTCATCTGAACAAATAACATGTTCCAGAAGCAGATTCAATCTAATTGCCAACCCATTGAAAATTTATGAATGGCATGGAAATCCAGATGGCAAAGAGGAGAAATCAAGGCAGAAATGAAGAAACTCATACAAACTGTTTGGGAAAAGCTGATGGCAATGCCAAAATAATGTCTGACAATAATTGAAAGCAAAGGAACCACACAAAATATTAAGTTTAAAAATTGTAAGAAATGTTTACTATATAAACAAACTCAATTTTTTCTTTATATTTGCTTATAATTGCAGTTATCATTTTTGAGGAAAGAAATAAAGAATGTGTCTTCTTTATTTTGGCTATTTTTCATTGTGCTACATAATCACATTTTTTTAAAAATGACTTGGAAAAATAAAACTTTCTTGCCATTTGAACAATTTTTTTTGCTCACTGTATAGTCAAGAAAATAAATATCGTTATGGTGTGAAATGTAGAATATACAACACAACACCAGTTTTTTAATAAATAGGAATAATGTTGACTATGTGTAATAATATGTTCATTAACATCTTTTCAGATTTTTTTAAAAACATTCCAGAAATTGGAACAGTATATAACAATTACCTCACTCCTCTTCCAGCAGATAGATTCTTGGAGAAAACAAATGTTTTTGGCCATTTCATTGGTCCTTCTCAGATAAAAGAATGATAATGCAAAAGTTCTATTTTGCATTTCATATTTGGAATCTGGTTTTATGCTTGGATGAAGGGTTGGAGCTCTTAAATTTTGGAATGCATAGAAGCTAAATTGAGCCTTATTGGTTTTTAGCTTGTTTTATGCATGAAAACTTTTTGAGCTTTGAACTTTTGTATTAACATTTTGAGGCAAGCCACTGAACTGGCCAAAAATGTTTGTTTTCTCCAAGAATCCATCTACTGAAAGAAGAGTGAGAAGCATAAAATAATTGTTTTCAGGTTTTTCAATTGACCTTAACACAGCACAATCATCAGATTGATTAAAGAGCATGTGTAAACAAATAAGAAGTATACAGCAATGTCAAAATGCAATGCCTACAACAATCTTAGATCATATATAACTTGTTTTTATATTTTTGCAAAATTCAATATCTTATAATTTGACATTTTAAATAATCTAGTATCATTCTGGTCCTGCAGATGCTAGATTAATTAATGAACTTTTACTATAGTTAATTTTTATTCCAAAAATTTCTTTTATATTGAAATCTATCTATTAAATACTTTAATATTAAGCATATAAAAATTACTTTTCTTTTATTACAGGAGATACCTTCAATTTCATTGAACAGGTATGATGCCTTAAAATGTTCTTAGTTTAAAAATTGTATCAAACAGCAAATAATAATAAAGTAAAAATTAAGTTTGTTTTGTCTACATTTATGAAATTAATAAATATATAATACAGTAGACCCCCTATAATGTGGTAGATACGTTCCACTTTATAAGAATTTCACGTTGTAGGAATCCTTAAATACATGAGCCAATCGCAGCCTGACACGTGTGAAGTTTACAGATTACGGCTGTTTGAAAGGTTTTCTTCCATAAAATTAATCGATTCTAGACTAATTCGACTCAACATTTCCAAAACACATATAATTTTTTGAGAATAATCCGTATAAACTATGCTATAAACAAAAAATTGTAGGATTACTTACCGAGTGTGCACCATTCGACATCACCATTGCTTAAGCTTGTTTTCATCGCGGAGCAACGCACCAAACGGCGGCTGTGATTTCTGATAAGTTATTTTTCTGCGAAAAATTCGTTGAGCTTTCGAGACGTCATTAATATAAATAATTTATATGGCCGTTGAATAAGAAATGTTTCTTTCACAAGAAATGTATAAAATTACAGTGCTGTATTAGACTTACGGTACCTAATTTACATACTGTACAGACGATAGTAGCGTAAAAATCTCCGTAGCGTGGCGCCACGCTAGACGGCGGAAATTATATATTTAATTATAACAAAGTTACAATAAGTTAATATATAATTATATATACAGTACCTAATTTATATATAATTAATA